GAGAGAGAAAATAATTTAAAACATTAAATTAAATTATGCAGTCAGAAAAAGACACCTAAGAAGGTTCTGGAGAAAATTCCAGTTATAATCTAAAACCCACTAAGGACGTGTTTAAGTATTCTATAGGCCCAACTGTTGTAATGTCTAGTGTTCAGTTTACTCACAAGTAATGAGCTTGAGTGAAGATTTAATTTCAAAAGTCAAAAGTGGCATTTCTTCAACTACTTCCCCTCCACCCATTTCAGCCCCCAACAAATCACATTCTTACATATAGGCTAGGCCAGCATTTATTACACATCTACAGTGCCCTGGAGAAGATATTGGTAAGGTGCTTACATGAACCGCTGCAGTCCTTTATGGAAGGGAATTCTCACTTGACCCAGTGAGAGTGAAGAAATGGTAATATTTCAAGTCAGGATGGTTTTTAGCTTGGTGGGGAATTTACAGATAATGGTGTTCCCATGTGTGGCTGCCCTTATCTTACTAGGTACCAATTCAAAAGGAGCTGTTGATGGAGGGCAAGGTAAGTTGCTGCAGTGCATCTTCTAGATGGTGCACACTGTTGCCACTGTGTGACCTCTGGGATCTGTTTCTCCACCCCTACCCTCTCTGCAATCCATATGTCGTAGGTACACCCACCATGAGGTTAGGACATTATAGGAATTTTGCCAGTGATATATTTCAGATTCAGGATGGCGAGCAATTTGGAGCAGAACCTGTAGGTGGCATTTGTTCCATGTTTACTGTCTTGGGCAGTTGCGTGACTAGTCTCTGGGACAGCTCTTCAAATTTAGATACGAGTCCATGGATATTAATGACAAAGACTATGCAGTGTCAGTTTTGTGCGATGTGCCCTTGTTGCTTTTTGTGCCTAGGTTGATGGTGGGTGGTCCATTTTTGTTCCTCTTCAGATTTATCTTTTCTCTAGCCGATTGATGAAATTGAGTGACTTGCTAGGTCTTTGTGAAGAACACTTTAGGAGTTAATCGTCAAGCAGTGCTTCTGGAGTCATATCTAGACCAGACCAGATAAAAGTTTCCTCCCTTGAAGAACATTTAATAAACCAGATTATTGGTTGGTTTGTTTGTTAATGGAAGTACAATAATTTCACGATCATTTGTTAATGAGACTAGTGATATATTTATCACTTAAATTCCTTAGTTGCCATGGTGAAATGTGAACTCTTGTTTCTGAGAGCATTAGTCTGGGCCTCTGGATTACAAGTCTGGTAATGTTACCAATATGTGTCTGTCTGTCTCCTAATTGAGGCACTTTGAAGCATTAATTGGACCTGGTCATCCTTGATGTTGATCTTAATATTGGTAAAATGTTCCAGTCCCCAGTGCATCCTTCATCTAATGACTGTAAAATAGGTTTAATAACTAATTGTGTTTTTAAAACAAGCAGCACTTTTTTATTTTTGAATTTACATACATAGTGTTCTGTGTATTTGTGTATCTCCGAAACAACTATCTGATAACTGAGTATGATAAGATTTCATAATTGTAATGCTGTTTGTGTAGGTATCAGCATTTTTTTTTCTATCATTTTACCTGAAAGGTGATCACAAATTTCCTGTCAGGTGCCAATGACCGAAGTATGACTCATTGGGATGAGACTAAGAAGCAATGTCAGGCCAGATAATAAGCACTGAGTAATGCTGTACTTTATTTAGAGAGTGTGGGGAAGAATGCGTTTTACTTTTTATGTAATCATAATTGTGTCGTAACTATGCAGCAACTAAGAGGAAAATGTCGTGTTCGAATGCTGGAAACTTTAATGCCCATTGTACAGTTGTTATAGGAGCAAAAGAAAAGCCTTAGGCTATTCAGCACCTCAAGCCTGTTCCAACATTGTTTGCTCATAAATTAGTCCATATTTTATCATTTTTGCCTAGCATTTCATAACTATTAATACCCTTGTCAAACATAATTTCAGAACTAAGATTGATCAATTGACCCCAAGTTTTGGCTTTTGGAGAGGAGGTTTCCAGATTTCCACGACTTTTTTTTTTTGTTTGTAGAGTTGAGTCCCGACCTTGCCTTGAGTAGGTTGGGTCCCTTGTTCTCTCCACTTTGACCATTGGAAATAGTCTGTATCTATGTCAACTCCTTTAATTATCTTTTTAATCATCTCGACCAGATAATAACATAGGTATCAGATGGAGACCATTTGCCCATTGTGTTCATGCCAACCATATGAAGGAATTATCCAATTGAAATATAGCCTCTAAAATAATCTCCAGGAACTGTCAAAATAGAAGTTACTTTGACCCCTGCTCCAAAGCCTTTTCAGCCACTGAGGCACTAGTCAGAGCTTGATAGTGTACTGTTCACTTGCTTGGAGGAAAGCAGGTCCAAGAAGCCAACATAATCTAGGACAATAAAACCATTTATCAAAAATCTTCACTCTCTCTTCCACCATTATGATGTTTGCAATGTGGTCTGTCTGCCATATGCACTGCAGCAACTTGCCATGATTTTAGCTCCACCTCCTAAACGTGTGACAGTTTCTATTGGAAAGAACAACTACGGCATTTGGTCTGTGAAAACACCATCTTCTGGAAATTCCATCCAAGATATACAACAACCCCCAAGGAAATATATTACCATGCCATCATCGGCACTGTATTAAAATCCTGGAACTCCCTTGCCCACCAGCATTGTAAGAGTACCTTTAGAGCAGATCATCCCTCAATCTCCAATATTCCAGGAAATTACAGGTCTAGACTATACAGTCTGTCTTAATTATTTAATACTCTTAGCCCTAAAACTATTCTATCAAGGGTAACAAGAAGATTGGTTTAATATTTGCAGATCTAATGCGTGTACTTTCTACTTCTCTCATCATTTTATTTATCCACTGACAAGAGGTGGCATGGTGGCTCATTGGCTAGTACTGTTACCTCACAGTGGCAGAGGCCTGAGTTCGAGGTGACAGCCTTTGGCAACAGCTTGGAATTTAGAAGTTCTCCCTGTTTCTGCCAAGTGCTCCGGTTTTCTCCCCAGTCCAAAGATGTACAGGTTAGGTGGATTGACCATGCTAAATTGTCTGTAGTGTCTTGGGATGTGCAGGCTAGGTGGATTGGACAAAGTAATTAGTGTTATGGGGATGGGGTGGGTGGGATGGTCTTTGGAGGGCTGGCGCAGACTCGATGGGCCAATCAGCTTCTTTCCATGCTGTAGGGATTCTGCGATTCTAAGTTTTCCATAATAGTAAAATAGCCTCAGAATGAGATTAAGAACATCTTAACTAGAACTTTTTAAATAGCCTTATATGGATCCACAAAGGAAGTATTGCAAAAACGTAAAACCGCATGTATTACCCAGATATTCTTACTAGTCAATTAACCACTGTTTTTGTAATACTTGCCTTTCCTGCACTTTGCTGTTTTAATCTTTTTGTTATTTTAAAATTATTTTTGTAGTGTTTTTCTATTTTGTTGCCGTCCTCAGTTGTAACTCCAACCCCTACAGCTACATCTTTGCAGGCCCTTATTTGGATCATGCAACTAAGGCAAGTAAAGGCATGTCACTGATGTATTTAGGTCATAAATAAAAGCAAAAAAATAGTACAAGTGGACAGGAAGTAGATCAGTGTTTGGGAGACAAACAACTGGAGATATTTCTGACATTACAAGAAATAAGTTACTGTACTTGCACTGTTCTGTTTTTAAGTGAGTATTTACTTTTTCTTTTTGTCCCCATGCTAGATACAATTTTGTAAAGATAAAGAAGAGCAGTTCATTTCTGTCTGGTATCCAGGTCAATATTTATCCCTCAACCAATATTGCTTTGAAAAGAAAATGATCCAATCATGATTGATGTTTTTGGGAATTTATAATGTTCAGATTCTTTGCCAAGTTTCTTTCCTATATAAAGTGTTTTGGGGCATCTTGAGGTCATGAAAAATGCTATAGAAATGTCGGCTTTCATCTTTCTATAGGAATTGGCAGACTGGGAAAAATTCCTGTTAATGCAGTTGCCTTTTTCTTTATTGAGACAGAGCCAAAGTGAAGGTGGTTAATTAACCTGAATAGCCCAGTTCAGAATTGAACAGTAATTTTTCTACAGCAAAACATTGGTTATTAGCAATAAATGCTATTTAATGTTGTAGATCAGAGTAACAGATGCTACTGTTTAATATTTTGATTATGTGGTGAAGTGTTACAATTAATGTGAAACTATTTGGTGCTGTGTTAATTTGGGGCACTGTATATATTGTTGGCTGCAAATTTTTCCTCATTGTTCAGTGTTTGTATTGTGCTAAGAAAGTTGTACTATAGAGTAATTTTCATTTGGCTATATAAAATCACAGGAAGGTAGGGCTAAAGTGCTTTTAAAAAGTGAGTAGATAATTTCACTGAAGTGACTTTGAGTTAAGAGGATGGGGCTGGTTACATAGTGATAACGGTACGTATTTTTTGCCATACCAGAAAACATGACCATTTTGTTTTGACCAAACCCACTTGTCTCTAGTTCTGGTAATAGATTTTGTTTATATTCCTTTTCAGAGATTGGAATATGGAAATCTCCAATCAGTGACGTCTCATTAAATGGTCACAATATTTTTTCACGTCTCTTCTGAAGTTACTGTGGGGCATGGTTACACAGGCCAACAGCACCCAGGTTTTTGGAGGTGTTAATCTTCTTAGGTTTACCCAAGTGCTGAGAGTCTATTGTGGTGTTTGACTGTACTTGACTAGCCAAGCTCATGCTGTGAAGGAAGCAACAAAAACTGGTGTTGGAGATATTGGAAGATAACTAGCATATGTTATAATCAAAGCATTGAAGGATATGCTCATGTTGTGGAGCAGGGCAGGTGGGATGCCAAAGGCTGCAGGAAAGCCAAGGGATACAAAGAAGGCTAACGTGGATCATGGTCAAAGTTGTTAATACATTTGTGATACAAGAAGCAAAGTAATTTGCAAGTGCAAGCAAAATTCTTGTGGAAGCTAGCACTCATTTGATCTCTAACATTTTGTTTTGTTTGTTTTACAGGAAAAGTGAAGAAAAAACCTAACTTAAAGATCTCTGAAGATGTCTTCAATCAGCCAATTACCAGCCCAACGTAAGGAAGTCTTTTAGTAAAATGGAGCCACATTTTTGCAGTCCTGTGCACGTATGTTTAAAGAGAGAGCCATTGAAAGGAACTCTTGCCATTGTAGAGAAAGTTACTGCTCACCAGAGAATTAGGCCATGCTGATTAGACGTTGTAGTTGAGTTGGTGTTGAGTTTATAGGTGTGTGAGAAGTCCACAGGCACTATTGGGACAGCCCGTTGAGAAAAAGATCAGCAGGGTCTTCTATTCCTACTTGGTCTCTTGTGATCCTTTCTTAACAGAGCCTATGTAGATATAATAATATGATTGCGTTTGTGAGACACCTGCTAGTATTTGTCCAGGAATAATGGACACACAGTGTCCCTGAAAGCTGCCACCCAGGTGGATAGAGTTGTTAAGAAGGCGTATGGTGTGTTAGCTTTCATTAATAGAGGGATTGAGTTCAAGAGCCACGAAGTTATGCTCCAGCTATACAAAAGCCTGGTTCGGCCACATCTGGAGTATTGTGATCAGTTCTGGTCGCCTCGTTACAGGAAAGATGTGGAAGCATTGGAAAAGGTGCAGAGGAGATTTACCAGGATGTTCCCTGGAATGGTGGGAAGGTCTTGTGAGGAAAGGTTGAGAGAGCTAGGGCTTTTCTCTTTAGAACGACGAAGGATGAGAAGTGTCTCGATAGAGGTGTACAAAATGATCAGAGGTATAGATAGACAGCCAGAGACTTTTTCCTAGGGTGGAGGTAGCTATTACGAGGGGGCATAGTTTTAATGTGAGTGCAGGTAGACATAGGGGAGAGGCCAGAGATAGGCTCTTTACTCGGAGAGTGGTCAGGGCGTGGAATGCATTGCCGGAGAGGGTAGTGGAGTCAGCCTTGTTAGGGTCATTTAAGTGGCTATTAGGTAGGCATATGGATGATAGTATAAGGTAGGGGTGGAGGTTAGATAGACCTTCGGTTTAGGGTAAAAGTTCGGCACAACATCATGGGCCTGTACTGTGCTGTACTGTTCTATGTTCTAGTGTTCGAAGTGCTGGGTGGCGGTCAGCACCTATGCAAGAAGAGAAAGACGAGGCTAGGAGTGGATGCTGATTGAATTAAAAAGTATGAGGATAAGGATTAATCTGTTTATGCCAGGAATATTATCAATAAGATTTTGTTCATCTAGCAGTTATTTACTGGTACTTTATTACTCTGCATTAGAAATTTTTTGCAGATTTATTTTTGCCGAGGTTGTCATTAAAAGCCATATTTTTGAAAGCTGCAAAACGTTCAGTCTGAAAGAGATTAATATGTATTTTAAACCACAAGGCAGTGATTTCTAAAGTCATGCAAACCTTGGGAGTCTGTTGTACTTTGAAGCACTTTCATAGCTGGAATAAGTCTATGAATATATGTTTTGCTATTGATATTTTGAACTAGTTGCTTGAGAACTTCTGTACTTAATTTTTTGCTTGAATTTTGCCCCCTCTTCTAAAGGCTCAATTTTGTGTATAACTCCACTGACATCAACTGCTTTCTAGCACGTTGTCCTAGTGGACATTGAAGTATGAAGCTAGACAGTGCAGTGGCTCAATCTTTGGCTAGGAATGTTAACAGGCCTGTGTCTGATTCTGTATTTTCTTTGCTTTGACATGTGCGCGCACAAGCATTTTGCAAGATTTTTAACGAACGAGTATTGAAAGCTTTTGTCTTTTCTCTCTTCCCAGGGAGAATAGCAGTTGATTTTTATTTGCCTACTATGGCTCCAGCTAAAATCAAGTAACCAAGCATAGACTAAGAATTAGAGAATGCTTCAAAGACGTATGGTTTAGTGTTACACTGGCACGTACCTTTTTTACCAATCCATTAGAATCATAGAATCCCTACAGTGCGGAAGCAGGCCATTGGGTCCTTGCCAACCCTCTGCATCCCACTAAGACCCACCCCATCCCTGTAACTCTGCACTTCCCATGGCTAATCCACCTAACCTACACGTCCTTGGACCTATGGACAATATAGCATGGCCAGTGCATCTAACCTGCACATCTTTGAACTGTGGGAAGAAACCCGTGCAGACATGAGAATATGCAAACTCCACACAGTCACCCAAGGGTGAAATTGAACCAAGGTCCCTGGCACTGTGAGGCAGCAGTGCTAACCATGGTGCCACCATGGTGCCATTGCAGTGAATAGGATAGCTATATGATTGCAGTCTTTTAGCTTTTAGAATCAAGACTGTCTTCTGGATGGTGGCAGCTGAATTCTGCTGTGTAGCTTTGCATTATATGACTGGTTGTGGATTAATTGACCAGATTTAAATACTGTTGAATGGGTAGTTGGTAAAATATATATATAATACTTGACGGTAAAAGGTAATTTTTCAATAAAATTAACCCGAGTTCTGATTTTGTTTGATGTATGATGGTAGGGTGATGCAAGCTGCTCAACTTGAGAGAAATATGAATCATTTGACACCTCAGCAGGGAGAAAATTATCAAAACTATTTATTCCTAATGTTTTGGTCTCTTTTTTTCAACTTCTGCGTAATTTTGTTTAAATTGGTCGCACAACAAATTTATTCAAAATATTTAAAAATAGCATGCTGATAATGGAAATCCTTTTTTTACTCCTCTTCAGAAGGAGTTGGTTGCTGAGCTAGGTTCAACGGCATTTGCGTCATTTGGTATCTTTCCCAATTTTTTTAATAGTGATCTATATGTAATTAATGATGGTGACTGTGGCCACTGTTTGATTGTGAGGATATCACAAGTCGAACCAAGTTAACTGGCCCGCAGCTTGTCTGTAAGCCAGCATAGTTTTCCTTTTCGAATATATATCCTGTTTGAAAGTTGCATCTGAATCTGTTGCACCACTCCTTTTGAGAGTTGCACTCCGGATGATGTCGCTATATAAAATTATCTTTTTCATCTGCTACTTTCCTTTGCCAGAATTGTCTCATATTCCCATATATTAGTAGACCACTCTGGTGTTTAAGCAATTTCATATCTGCCTTTGAGTGGAACTTGCTGCCCAAACTTGCAGTATTCATTTTTCCTATAGAATGTTAGTATTTTTCAGATAGTATGACTTTTTTTGGTAGTATTTTCCAGAAACTAAATAAGCCACTACTTTAAGGAAAATTTGCAGGTTCCTTGCATCATATATGATACATAGAAACTATTCCCAGTTTAGATCCCAATGAATTTCTTAGGCTGCCCAGATTATGACTGGAATTTGGCTTTGAGAACATTGTATTAGGTCTTTGTTTAATAGAGACACTGTATCTATTCAAGGGGTTCCAGCAGGCAGTGAGATGTGGCTCAGGGTTTTCTGACTCACTAGCGCAGGTTATAGCCTAGGAAGGAACACGTCTAGTTGTGGGCAATATTATTTTCTTGGCAAAGCTGCCTACATGAATTTCTTTCTTTAACAAAAATAGAAATTGCTGGAGAAACTCAGCAGGTCTGGCAGCATCTGTGGAAAGAGGAACAGAATTAACGTTTTGAATCCAGTGACGCTTCAGAAGAGTTTCAAGCATGCTGAGTTCCTCCAGCAATTTCTGTTTTTGTTTCAGATTTCCAGCATCTATAGTTGTTTGTTTTAATTTTTTTAATCTCCTTTGCAATGATTTCTGTTCCCATTAACTCCAGTAACCTCCTCTTTAAGATATGTTTTGCTTGTGTACTGTTATATTCAGAATATTCCTATATTTGTAAAAATATTGATGTTTAAAAATACCTCCAGGTCCTTATCTTTATTTCTTTTCTTAAATCTTTATGGTGCTTTTCTTACATATTTTGAAATCTGCCATGCAGAAAATCTACTGTTAGTTTGTGCACCAACATGTTTAGTTGTGGTCTCACTGTTTTTGTATACTTAATTCATTTTTCTGAGAAATTGAGTACATTTCTGTTCAAATCTATTTTCTAGGCCACCCCGAGACCTGGATTCAAAAGCTTGCATTACAATTGGAGATCAAGTAAGTATTTATTTGTTATTTTACATTTTTAGATAATTTTTGTTATTCAAAATGAATTCCCTTTCTGCTCTATTGTCCTGTTGAAATACAATCTTTGAGATGATTTACTAACTATATATTTATTTTAAACTGAGCAGGATTTCTTTAGGTCAGTGTTCGTTTGTAACTATAGGTGTATATTGTTTTGTGAAAATTCCAAATTAATTGAACTTTTAAATATTCTCAACAAGATAAAATGTTCCCTCAGTAGTACAGAACTTGAGTATTGCTGGAAAAAGAGACACTGTCAGAGTTTATTCTCTTGCACTCATCAGGACAGATGGAAGTATGCCCAATTTCAAAGGGCATAACAATTTATACTGCATGAGAAATAATGCTGATTGGTTCGTTGTTTATAGGCCCTTTGTTCCAACAACTAGCGAATTGTAGCAGAAAGGACATACTATTTGTTTGTAATAGGCAGTGTATTAACTTTACTCCACTAGCTTGTGCTTGCAAAACTCAGAATGTAATGTCTAACATTTAGCTGTTATTCCACATTGGGCAGCACTCGCTGAACAATCCCGAGTGCCGGAATTACTACTGAAGCACCCACTTTAATATAATCAGTTATTTTTGCAATGTGCATCATTTAGGCCTGCAAGAGGCTTCATACATTCATATGCAGGGATCTGTCCTCTGCATTTATAAAAAAAAAATGCATCTGGGCATTAAATTAAATTGTGGAGGTCAGTAGTACCCTGCTGCCATGGACAATCAGAGTTGACCTGTCAACGGGTCTTTTATCATGCATTATGAATAGTTGCTCCCTTTGAAAGCTGGTGTTCATGCATCTGTCCTAGTGAGTGCAAGACAAAAAGCTTTGACAGCGTGTCTCTTTATCTGGGTTGTTGCTGGAAAAAAAAACGCTCTGTGACATAGATTTCTGCAATGAAGAAAAGCTTTCTGGAATGAAGAAATACTAAAGTTAGATGTTGCTAATTTTTGGTTAAGACGTCTGCCCTCGTGAGTGCATTTTAAAGATCTCATGGCACTATTTGGGAAAAAGAGCATCTAAGTTCTTAGAGTTTTAGGTAACATTTGGCCTCAACCAACATCACTAAAACTGATTTTTTTCCCCATTACAGTTTGTGCAAATTGGTTGCCATGTTTCCTGCATTATTATAGTAATTATTTTTCACAAGTACTACATTGGCTTCAATCTAGCTTTGGATATCTTGAGGTTGTTACAGACGCAAAGGAAACCATTTTTTTTCTTCAACAAAAATAGAAAATGTTGGAGAAACTCAACAGGTCCGGTAGCATCTGTTGGGAGAAAGCAGAGTTAACATTTCAAGTCCGGTAATTCTTCTGAAATGTTAACTCTGCTTTCTCCCCACAGATGCTGCCAGACCTCCTGAGTTTCTCCAACCGTTTCTGATTTTAATTCAGATCTCAACCATCTGCTGTTCTTTGTTTTATTTCCATGATTTTCTTGGCCTTGGTTTCCCTGCTGGTGATGCACATTATATAGCATCTAGAAAATGTTCAGCAGTCCTTGAAATAGGCAAATAGTATGTTGCTAAGGAATAAAAGATGGTAATGAGCTGTTTTTTTTTTTTTCCTCATTTGAATTACTTGATGGAACACGTGGATACATATTACAGTACTGAATCAGGCTGTATTAGAGTTAGGCTATAATCTGTGGTGTTTGACGCACCTACATGGGTGCGAGTGAAACATAATGAGCTCTAAAGATTAGCAATAATAGGTAGTAGTGAACTGTATCTTCTGCCCTCCTGAGTATGAGCTGTGTGAAATACTCGAGTTTTATTGGGCTCAGGTGCTCATATGTTGTACATGTCTAGTTTGCCTGCAGTTAATGTATAATAGTATTGTAAAATAGTGAAAATTCAAGACGAGCAATGGAAGAGGCAGCAACCAAGTGCTTTGGAGGTGCATTATCCTTGTATCTGCTAACAGAAGATAATTTTGCTGCAAAAGGATGTGAAATTCTTCAGCTAACCGTCATTTTTCATTATCTTTTCACCAGAAGAAAAATAAAGAGAAAAGGGAGATGGAAATAGTTTCAGAATTTAACAAACTGAGAAAGGTAGTGCGATCCTGGAGGCCTGAAGGCAAAGGTCAGAAAAAAACACAAGGTTGTTAGTTGAGATGAGAAGAAGTAAAAAGAGAGTTTGATAACAGAACTGTCAGTTGCTCAAAGTCTGCCAAGTCCATGCAACGGGTTCTTTTGGTGGACAAAAATCGTCTGAGTACATTTTCTGTGCAGTTTAGGAGTTTACATTTTGTATTGGTGGTGGTGATGGTGATGGTGATTATCCCCAAAGAATGTCAGGCTTTGCAAGGCTCATTGTGAAGGCTGCAAACCATTTCCTGTAATCAGTGATTTCTGAAATATAGAGATGTGGGAGGGATTGACAGGCTGAGACAATATTAAAGAAGTACTGACCCCGTCACTTCTCTTGTTGAAAGTTGATTGAATCTAAGAGCTGACCGAATAAGAGTGCTTTCTTACTTTGTCACAGGGAGTTCACTCAGCTGGTTAGAGGTAGTTATTTATTTTCTTTGCAGCAACCGTTTTCTAGTGTGAAATTCTTTTTGTCTTCAGAAATAGATCCAATAGAAGCCAATAAAATTGTTGAAAGTCGTCACCTGAATATAAGATGAACAAGTCAAACAGTGGGTCATCTCATGGATTCATAGAAGCTTTTGCCAATGTAAAATTGTTTCCGGTGGCATATTCACTTCACAAACTTTGTTTTATAAAGTTCAGGTTATATGAATGACTAGTGACGCTTTCAGTTTTATTAGTTCATCCCCTCCAATTGTTTTCCAATTTGAGAACGAGCAAAGCCAAAGGTCAGGAAACAGAGCAAGGCAATGGGATTAGGTTTGAATTGTTGTAGCAGAATCACCATAGTGGCCTCTATCTGGACCATAAGATTCTGTGAATCCTTTTCTGAAGGCATTGACTCCTGTTGTAGTTTTAGTGATTGTTGTCTGGAGAGCATTGTATTTCACTTAGCCTCAGACCTTGGTGACATGTTGAATAGATATTGGTTAGAAGCAAAAAGTCTGCCTGTTTTTTTTCCCTTTTACCAGGCAAATTATAGTTTCCCTGTTTTCACACCTAAGATCTGGTAGCTCAGCAGTCGCTGGCAATTGAACCTGAAGTATTTGTAGTCTGTCTTACTGTACCTTTTATGAACTGTGTGCCCCTAAGTGACAAATTAATTACCACATTATTCTTCCATTTCAGGGGTTCTACTGAACTGTACAGTTAAACATAATATAGAATAAGAGACTGAGCAAATATCAAGGGAGTGCCTAACTAATTAGATCATGTAGTTGAATGACATCATCTATATTCCTGAGCTTTTCCTGGCCGTAATTACATCATAGTGAAGGCATTTGGCTGACGATGTTAGGTTATTTTAAGGAAAGACCAATTTTTAGATGTGATGACATGGAGTATTTATTTTTCTATTAGGTTAGCCATGCATTGAGCAGTTCAAATACTTATGGGACTGTTTTATCCAGCCACTGATCCTCTACTCTGGTAATGTTTACAAGACTAAGTTTGTATCCAGAGTATTCAATCTGCAATAAAAATCAATATTTAAAAAAAAAACTATACTGAGAATATTGTTACAACCACTGTAGATACCAATATGATCTTAAAAGAAATTGACACTCCTAGTGAATAGCTGAAAGAATCAAAATTTAACCTTGTAATAGACTCTTATTATAGTACACAGACTAAAAGCAACATTGCCTGCCAAAACAGTGTTAGTCAATGTATAGAGAAAGAATACCCCCATTAACATTTAAAATGAACTGAAAAAAAAATTCTCTCTGGTTGTTCTTGGCTTTGACCTTCTTTCAAGTAGACACTTCATTCATCTAATCTAAAGTAATCCTTGACTCACTTTATCTTTCTTACCACATAACTTCTAATTTCCTAATTCCTGAATTGACTTTGACTTTCATGGTGTGAATTAACATAGAGATCCTTCCCTTTAGCCGCAGCTAGACGAATTGCCCAGCTTCATTTAGACTCTCATGACCCTAGTCTCTTCAATCCAAACTGAACCCCCATCAGCATTTATTTATTTATTTATTTTTCTTTATTCGTTCATGGAATGTGGGTGTCTCTGGCTAGGCCAGCATTTATTGCCCATTCCTAATTGTCCAGAGGGCAGTTAAGAGTCAACCACATTGCTGTGGATCTGGAGTCACATGTAGGCCAGACCAGGTAAAGATGGCAGTTTCCTTCCATGAAGGACATTTGTGAACCAGATGGGTTTTTCAGACAATCGACAATGGATTCCTGGTCATCATTAGCTTCTTAATTCCAGATATTTATTGAATTCAAATTCCGCCATCTGCCATGGCGGGATTTGAACCTGAGTCCCCAAAACGTTATCTGGGCCTCTGGATTGAAAGTCCAACAATAATACCACTAGGCCATCACCTCCTCCCATTTGTTTATTTAATAAACAATAGAGATGTATTACCTCTACCTCTGTTTTTTGCCCCTCTCTCAAGTTCTTGAAGACTGATCCTGCCTGTGAGATTTAGTGATATTTAGAAATATTCGCAACCTGATTCCAAAATAACTTAAGGGTTGTTCCCTTCCCAAAGCCCATCTCCACAGCAGTGTGAATCACGAAGGTCTTGTACTTGGGAAGAAATGCTAACTAGCTATGCTTTGAACCCCATCTCCATTTATAAAATCGGACATTCCTAATACCATCTTGGGACTTGGCAACTGAAAGTTTATTCATCATCGCATCTGCCCTGGGTATTGTTTGCAGGTGTTGCCATCTGCACCTCTCCCCAGTAAAATAACCTGAGCTTTCTCTTAATCTTTAACAAGCAAGCTACCTAGGCTTGTTGATAGCTCAATTCAGAACAAGTTCCTGTGACCCCTTTGATCCTCTGCTTCCTTAAATTAAAAGACAGCACCAAAACATTGCAATTTAAATATCTTGCAT